GTACAAAGAAGGGCGACCAATTTCATTCTCAACGATTTCACCAGTGACTACAAGACCAGACTAAGGTCCCTAAATCTCCTCCCTCTGATGATGACCTTTGAGTTACAAGATCTGATATTTTTCATTAAAGCCATAAAGACACCTGATCCTTCCTTCAATATTCTGGACAATGTCTCCTTCTCCACTAATGCTACAAGTTCTGGTGCTGGTCTCAAGCTCTGACACTCTGTTTCCTCCACAAACCTGGACCGTCACTTTTATTACAACCGCCTCCCTCGTTTGTGGAATTCACTACCTGTCATCCAAGTCTCACTGTTTCCAAATGCAGTGCTAGTAATCATAAAAAATCACTTCTGGTCCACATTTGAATCTGTTTTTAACACTAATCACACATGCGCCTTTCACTCACTCCGCCCATGTAATTTATGTATGTTAAACCCTTCTACTACAAACTTCTCTTAAATAATAACTAGTGTATTCTGTCTAAATTTTTTGTGTGTGTTTGTTTGTAAAGGCTGTTTCGGCATGTTCGACACAGACCTCCAGTGCTACCATTATCTGACCTATCCTCCTGAAATTTTTAATCCTTCATTTGTGTCACTGGGAAGTTATTATTATTATTATTATTATTATTATTATTATTATTATTATTATTATTATTATTTGAGCCACACTTTCACTGCAGCCACACCTTTACTTTGCTGCAGCATGTTTCATTCTCACCACTTGACTGAATTGCAATTTCTGCATTGCACAAGCTACTGATTCTTGCCCACTAAAATTAAGAAAAAATTTTTTCCTTAATAACAAAGTAATACGTGTAATTCAAACACAAAGGTACAACTATAATCCATGACTAAAATCAATTCTTTTTCTGATCCACTGACTTTAATTCCTGTACAATTTTGACTTACACGTATATACATGTACTATATGCACACTGCTTTTAAGCCTTTGCCTTAAGATCAGACAGTTTCTTTATTAAATTAAAAACACAAACTGCTGCACCTACATAATAGTTGTGGTGAGGGTCTGCACTTAAGTACTCTCGTTATTCAACCACTGGGTTGTACATTTTTGTAAATAACAGAGAATATCATTTGTACTGTAGTAGAGATTGATTTCCAATGTTTTATTTTGTGAGAAAAGTACACATATTATATGTACAATGTACCTCCTGTGTTTTTTTGAAAGGGAGTCTTGTAGCATATTTGCTTGCTCAAGACAGATAATTTAAAAATATTTAATGTTTTTTACATATGTACATGTACGTGTAATTACCAGTGCACTTTAAGTTACTGAGTTTTATTGTCTGGCAGTTTGTCATCATATGATGTTATTGAGGGCTACAAGCAAAGCTGTGTTTCACGTATTACATGTACATGTACATGTAGTTTATAATACATTAAACCTGTTTGAATTAGTAAATAAATTTTTTATGTAATTCTTTCATTAAAAAATCTATTACGTGTACATGTATAAAAAAGCCGAATTTTTTTGTTTACATGTATATTGTAGGCTGTTCTATGGCTATACATCCAGACCAAAAGTGTCAGGATCAAGTGACTAAAATATGTAGAAGTGATGTGGATGAAGTTCCTAGTACCAATGTTTTGCCACGGGCTGATGCCCCTCCTCCTACCAAGAATATTACTGAAATAGTCAAAAGACAAGTTGCCAAGTTAGTACAGTACAGACTGTGTAATATTGATGCCATACATATCATCATTGTTCATTAGAGGAAGAAATCGATACACTGATGATGGTTTTGACTTAGATTTGTCTTACATTACTGACAGAATTATTGGTTTGCTTAATCTATTTTGATCTAATGACTCTATTTTTGTAATATTTTTAGCTATGTCATTTCCAGGGTCAGGAGTGGAATCTGCTTATAGAAATAATTTAAAGGATGTTGCAAAAATGCTAAAAACACAACATCAAGATAATTATATGGTACTGTATTACATTGTATATTTTGTTTTTGAGTTTATTCAGTAGGTTTTTAATTTGTCTGAGAGGAGCTATGACATCTCCAAATTCAATAATCAGGTGTTAGATTTTGGTTGGCCTGATCATTTAGCACCTTCTTTAGAAAGACTTAGCATGTAAGTCAGCATGTTAAAAGAAAAAAAATTCAGCTATATGTTTTCTTGATTTCCTTGTGCGTAAATGTTTTGTTGCACTGCTTTTTTGTCGCATACGTGTACACACAATGTATGCATGTTTGCATCTCCACTTTTGCCTTTTAACCTATTTTTATTTCATCTTCATGTACATGTACATCTACTAATTTTGGCATTTGAAGATTACATGTAGTGTCAAACCTGTCTATTCCAGACACCTTGGGACCCAATAATACTGTCCTGATTTAGGCTGATTTATGAAAGAGCCCTTTGATTCAAAGGTTCCTTAAGTGAAATGTGTAGTACTGGTGACATGTACACATTTGCAATGCAAATTGTATTTTGGGACTGCTACTACCTGTCGTGATTATAGACTTGTCGTTATGATAGAGTGGTCCTTAATAGCTGGTTTGACTGTATATGTATTTTTGCATTCAAAAGTAATTCAGTACTCTTGCATGCATGCATGCATGCATTGTGCCCCTGTCCTGGTTGGTTTTTTGTACCTACAGTGAAACCTGTCCTAAAGGTCACCTGAATAATGAGGCCACCTCTCTATATAATAGATTACAGCCATAAGCCAAAGTCCCGTACTAAATGGCTGTATTACAGAGGCTGATCTGTAATGCAGCCACCTTGCATAATCAGACCATTTAAAACTGGCCCAAGGGTGACCGGATTAAGCAGGTTTCACTGTACATGTGTGTAGTATACATACATGTACATGTATGTAGCCTCTGCTAAACTCAAAAGTACATTATACTTACTTTGTTCATGCAATCACATTTGACCTCTTTGTTTACATGTATTTATAACTTTACTGATCTTACATGTACTGTAAACCTAAGAAGCATTTTGCCATACTAACAGGCTATTAAGCGCCTAGTTCTTCTTAGGCGCCTAGCTCAATGTAGCTCTTAGCATGGGTTTGTTAAGCGCAGTACAAAACAGTAGGAGTCTAAGCAGCAGGATTTAAAGCAGTAGGAGTCCAGACACTTTTTATAAGCATTATGGCCATGAACCAGACTGTCAAAAGAGTATTCTGCACCACTCGCCATTGTAAAGCCAGTAAAGTGATCAATTAATTATTTTGTAAACCACACCTACTGTATTTATTAAGCGCTGAGTCATTATTAAGTGCCCGTTTTTCTGTCATTTTTTTGCATAAGTGCCTATGCTTAATAGCCTGTTAGTACGGTATTGCAATAACCTCTTTATGATTTATTTTCTATAGCACCCTTCTTTATATGTTTTTTAGTAGCATTTACTCATTTGATATTCATTTTTTACGTATAGAGTTTGTAAGTCAATGAAGTCTTGGCTAGATTCTGATCCTAATCATGTAGTTGTTGTTCACTGTAAAGGAGGCAAAGGTAGAACTGGATGTGTTATTGCTTCATTTATGAACTACTCACAAATTTGCCAAAGGTACTAGTAGGACGTTTTATAGCTACAATGTATATGTATTGTTCTAGTAGCCATCTTGCCATCCTAATTTTTATTGTGTGGGTGGATACTATACATGTAATGCAGTTTTTGGGGCTGAAACAAATAATGTACATGTATTTTACTATTTAAATAATTGATATGCTAAACAAATGAATCTGAAATTCAAATAATTCAATGATTTTTGCTGAATGATTATAAGCTCTTACACTTTTACCTTTTTGGTTTCTATTTTTTTCGAAATGATTCCAATCAGTGCTTTTATAAAGAGATTGACTTTCAATGGCCACAGTAGTCAGTATTAAGTAGTTAAATAAACTAACAAAGCAGCCTGTGCAAGTGGCTTATGGTAGGCGTGGCCATTAATACTTGTCGTAACCAGTAATAGTTTTATTGTGCTGATAGCAGGGATGGGGCGAAGTACATTTAGAAGTACTTAAGTAAAGTACAAGTACTTTGCAGTGGTACTTAAGTACAAATACAAGTACATACGCTTTTTAGCAAGAGCACTTAAGTACATTTTCAAGTACAATAAAAAGTACTTAAGTACAGGTGAAGTACTATAAAGATTATAGTAAAATGAATTGTTAAGTATTATTTGATTGAAGAAATTTATATGTGTGTGTTGTTGCAACGAATAAACATTAATTGTTGAAATTTGTGGTCGTGTAAGTTACATCTTTCTGGTCTAAATATCTTTCCAGCAATGCTAAAAAGTCTCTCAACTGGAGAAGATGAAGATGGTACAGATAGAATTTCTTTAGCTAGCACTGCCAGTAACGGGTATTTCTTTGAATTATTATCCCAAAATGTTAGCGGATTAGTTTCGATGGGTTGGGCTGGTGCTTCGAATTAAGCATCTACATTAGTAGATATAGTATCTGAACCAGCTATCACAACTGCAGAAGACTCTGATGGCATGAAACTAAACAAGGATTTGGCTTTTTTGGGCTATGACATAACAGTCACTCAAAGCTTAATATAGTTACAATAATGAGTTCTCACATTACCACAAACACCATTACTCAACAGTGACAGTTTAACAGTAGCAAGTGTCACAGTTTTTACAGTACTATCATGCTATTGTGCTTATACAGTACTTCAAAGTACTTATAAGTACTTATAAGTACTTTTAAGTACTGAAGTACCAATAAGTACTATGTTAAGTACTTAAGTATAAGTACAAGTACAGGCAGTTAATGTAAAAAAGGACTTAAGTACAGTCCAAGTACTTTGAAGACTGTACTTAAAGGGTAACTGCAGTGGTTTTTTGAGGTTTTTTTATTTTATTGGCTAAATATGATTGCCTGAACTTTTTAATGAAGTGTAAGAACTCCCATTGTTCAAAAAAAATTATTCATTGAGATATGAGCTTTCAAAAATGCCTTTATTTACTTCATGCCATGTTACTTCCTGTCGGTGGGCGTGGCTAAACGTGACGTCATTTTGGTAAAGCTAGTGATTAATCCATTCCTTTATAGGGGGAAATAATCCTTTATTCTCATGCCTAGTAATGTAATAGCACAAATTTAAAGATTGGTATTG